TAGTTGCTCCGCGGCATGTGGGGTCTTCCTGGACCAGGGCTTGAACCCGTGTCCCCTGCATTGGCAGGCGGATTCTTAACCACTGTGCCACCAGGGAAGCCCTCGACAGAATTCTTATAACGACCCCTGAAACTGATCTCTGTCTCTGGTGTGTGAGCAGCAGGCCGTCCTCCATGCCACTGCTACGGGCATCTTTCTAGATCACAAGCCTGCATATCGCTCCCACACCCTCCCTGATAGCTCAGAGCTTCCTGGGATTTCTGTAAAATTTCAAAAAGAATTTTGGGGACCAAATAAGGTCACCAACTTTTAATTTTGCAAAGTAAGGACATAAAGTTAAATGGTTAAGTAAAAAGTTGCTATTGCCATTGACCATCACCATTATTTCATAAAGGAGAGGCTGAAACAAGGGCTTAAGCTCAGAAGGAAGACACTTGGGCGACCATACACCGTGCAAATATCCATGCTGCCTTGTCCGTCTTTTTCTCCTTTGGCCTCAGACCGATAGGCTTCTCCACAGATCATTCTGGGTGGTGTTGGGGCCCAGCTGGAGGTTACTTCTTTCTCCTCAGGAGACTGTCAGCTCCTTGGTGAGGTTTTTTTGTTTTGTTTTTTTCATGAATGGAGGAGCCGTGATTAACTTGCTGGTTGGTGGTTTACACGTTGTGAGGGAAGGTGTGAAGCTCAGAGTGGAAGGTGCTGCTCAGCTTGTGGGTTCCTGTGTCCCTGCCCCCAACCCCTCTCTGGGAATGTCTGGCTTTGTGGTTTCTCCCTCTTCCCTTGTGTCCTCATCTCTCTGACCCTCTCTGGCTTCCTTTTACTTTCCTTTTCCTCTTCTTATTCTCAGCCCACTCCTATGTTCCCTCTATGTACTCCAACCCTGGAGCCCAGTGGCCCATATCTTAACTGGTTATAATATACAATTTAAAAAGATTGTGTTAGTGGGACTTCCCTGGTGGCGCAGTGGTTAAGAATCCGCCTGTCAATGCAGGGGAACACGGGTTCGAGCCCTGGTCTGGGAAGATCCCACATGCCGCGGAGCAACTAAGCCCGTGCGCCACAACTACTGAGCCTGCACTCTAGAGCCCACGAGCCACAACGACTGAGCCCGCGTGCCACAACTACTGAAGCCCCCGGTGCCTAGAGCCCTTGCTCTGCAGCAAGAGAAGCCACCGCAACGACAAGCAGCTCCTGCTCTCCGCAACGAGAGAAAGCCCACATGCGGCAACGAAGACCCAGTGCAGCCAGAAATATAAATAAATAAATAAATTTATTAAAAAATAATAAATAAAATAAAATGTTATTGCTATACCCAAGGTCATCTAGGTTTAAAAAAAATTATTGTGTTAGAAAATGTTTTATATTCTCTGCTCTGAATTTTGAGAGTTGGGTCAGTTTTTAAACAGATATTATTTTGTGCCGCGTGAGTGCTAGGTCCTTTCAGCCTGTGATCCCAGGTGATCTGTGCAGGAGGAAGTTATCCCCTTGCTTAGAAGTGAAGAAACAAGGCCTAAAAGAGGTTAAGTGTCTTGACCAAGGTTACACATCTGTATGAAGACCTCTGCCATCTTTTATATTGGATTTATCTATTCCAAGACCCAAGCAAGCAAACCCAAATCCGTTCTCAGATTAACAGAAATAAGTCTCTTGTTTTAAAAACTTGTGTGGAAGAAACTCACAGGTGGTCTTTATCAGTCTCACTTATTGGAGTATGGTCATTCATTCACTCACTTTGTTATGAATATAAAAGTACACCTTACAATCTGGGAATATTAATACAAGGGACACACTCAGTGTTGCTGTTAATGTATCAAATAGTCTTTTTTTCCAAGTGATTTTTTCCATAATTAATATTTTTCTAACTACAAAGTTTTTCAGCAAGATGCCAGGCCTGTGTTAAGAAGTGAGTTTACAAAGATGAGTAAGATACAGTCCCTGAATTTGAGACATGTTCAATCTAGAGGTGATTTTTTTTTTTTAACAAAGGGGAAAAAAAGAGTATTCTTGGAGTCAGAAAGCCTTAACACTTGTTTCTTACAAAACTTCAGGCAAGCTATTTAACCTCCCTGTGCCTCATTCTCCCCATATGTAAAGTGGGGATAAAAATGGTACCAATCTCAGAGTACTGTTGTGAGAATTAAATGAGTTAATTCATGTAAAGTAGGTAGAATGGTGCCTGGCACATAGTAAGTGCTCAATAAATATTAGGCATTGTTATTATTGCTGTTTTGTCTAGTTACCACCACCACAATCCTTACCCCTGTAACCTCCTGGCACGTGGGGGGCACACGGGGGCACAAGGGGACCAGTGAATGATGGTTCCTTCCCCTCTTTCACCCAGCATGCTAGCTGAAGGGAGGCATTGGGAAATATAAAATACTTCAGGAGAAATATGAAATACTTCTGTCCAAACAGAAAAAAAAAATGTGCTCACAGATGTTGCTAATGTTTTATAGCCTCCTGAGCCTCCATGTCTCTGTAAACCTGAGATAATAGTACCTGCCTCGTATATTGCTGTGAGCCGTCAGCATCACGTAGGCTGAGAACCACTTGGGACTGGAGTAGGGCGAGCTTCCACAAAGGTCACTGCTAGAAATACTAGTAATATTCTATTAGTATGCAGTTAGTATTATTAACCTAACTTATTTCTTCCGACCCTGATCCCCAGTTTTTTCATCTGTAAAATGGAAATGATTATTAGTAATAATGATGCAAAAGTTGCTCCATCTCAGGGGACAAATGGTCTGAATCAGGGGTCCCCATCATCATCTAGGGAACTTTTTACAAAAAGTTATTTATTTATTTCTTTTAAAATTTTTATTCTGTTTGGCTGTGTTGGGTCTTCGTTGCTGTGTGCGGGCTTTCTCTAGTTGTGGTGAGCGGGGGCTACTCTTCGTTGTGGTGCGTGGGCTTCTCATTGCAGCGGCTTCTCTTGTTGCGGGGCATGGGCTCTAGGTGTGCGGGCTTCAGTAGTTGCAGCATGTGGGCTCCGTAGTTGTGGCTCGCGGGCTTAGTTGCTCCGTGGCATGTGGGATCTTCCCAGACTAGGGATCGAACCCATGTGTCCTGCATCGGCAGGTGGATTCTTAACCACCGTGCCACCAGTGAAGTCCCTAGGGAGCTTTTTAAAAAGTCTTGTTATGTAAGACAATCTTACTATGCATTAGAAAAATTTTGTCCATTCTCGTAACATTCCTGGGTTACTTGAGATAAAATTCCTACCTTATCCCTGGAAATCTGAGCCACCAAAGGTTAACCATCCTTTTCTGGACCATGTACCATGTTGGGGGGTCAGAGCTGAGGGTTGAAAGTATACTGGTCTCCCTTTCTTCCTGAAACATCTCTCTGGGCTTGGGGAACCTTTTCAAAACCCTGATGTCTGAATCCTATCCTGGAGATCCTGAGGCCATAGGTCAAGGATGGGACCTAAAAAGCCACCAGTGATGCTGAACATGTCAGCCATATTTCCTATGTAGCGTTGCCCCTGTCTCCCGGTTTTAGCTTTCATTCTAGTATCCCCGCCCCCTCCTTTAATCCTTCAATCACCCCCTGCTATGAGTCTAACTGTTCTCTGCTAGGCTGGTCTGGGAGGAACACACAGGAATAAGAGACTGTGTCCCTCCCATTTATCCTAGGTTGATTTGGGGCTAACTTGATGTATGACCTTGGACAAGTTGCTTTCCCTCTCTGGGCCTCTGTTTCCTCTCTGTACAATGCGGAGGGTGAACATGCTCTTGTGTCCCTTCCACTGCTGCTAGTGTGTGGTTTTTCTCCCCTCCTGGGAAGTCACACTCCCTCTGGAAATTCTGTCCTGAGCAGAAGTAGGGTCACCCTCTCCTCCAACCCCTTGCTAGCCCTTCGACTCCTGGCTCAGGGAGGCTCGACATCTTTGTGTAAACCGGTTCTGTGGTATTTTTAATTTCTTGATGGAAAAATGATGAACTGAAAAGAAAATATTTTAAACTCCAGAGCATTCCACACATTGCCTGTCAGGGTTCAGCGCCTGGTCCCTCGGGCCCACGTTTGCCGCTGAGCCTGGCCTTGTGTCAGCACTCTCGCTTTGCTACTTGGCCTTCTGCAGCCTTGCGGGTTTCTGCAGAAACGTGGTTCCCATGGAGGGAGACGGGCCTGGGAGGGTGCCCAGTCCACCTCCCTTCTCGGGCAAAGTGTATTAAGCCCACCCAGGCAGGTGAGAATCTGTTGTTTATATTTTTTTAAAAGTATGTATTTATTTGGCTGTGCCGGGTCTTAGTTGCGGCATGCGGGATCTAGTTCCCTGACCAGGGATCAAACCGGGGACGCCTGCATTAGGAGCACGGAGTCTTAACCGCTGGACCACCAGGGAAGTCCCTAGAATCTGTTGTTTAAATAAATATTTTTTATTGCAAAAATGTGCATAAAGGAAATTAAAATTTTAATGGTGTTTATATCTAGTGCTGTGTATCCTTCCAACTTTTTTTCCTCTGTGTGAATATATATATTGCAATATATCATATAACATATAATGAAAAATGATATAAATGTGTTTCTTTAGAAGCTCTGGATCAAACTCTGTGGCCTTTTTCTTGTCTTGAATTTTTCATAAAACATAGCATATTCTTAGCTGTTTTCTAAAATTTTTTTTTTTTTTTGCGGTACATGGGCCTCCCACTGTTGTGGCCTCTCCCGCTGTGGGGCACAGGCTCCGGACGCACAGGCTCAGCGGCCATGGCTCACGGGCCCAGCCGCTCCGCGGCATGTGGGATCTTCCCGGACCGGGGCACGAACCCACGTCCCCTGCATCGGCAGGCGGACTCTCAACCACTGCACCACCAGGGAAGCCCTCTAAAATATTTTTAAAGGCTATTACAATATGTGGCTATATCATAATTTATATAGCTAGTCCTCTAGGTTTGGATATTTGTTTGTTTCCAGCATAAAATTCATTGTGATGAATTTTATTCCATCAGATAGGACTTTCAGCATCCATGAATCATTAATAATGACTCTTCTATCCACAGAATCCAAGAGTTCTCCAGCTGAGACTGAGCTGCCCCCCTCCACACAGGTGAGCTCATGTTCTTGTCAAAGGGTCACGGCAACAGCACCTAGTGTTAAGGGTTGTGGGCTGGCATCAGGCAGAAATTGGTTTAAATCCCAGCTCTGCCACTTACTAGAAACATGGCCACGGGCAACTTGCCTGTCCTTTTCACACCTCTGTAAAGCAGGGTAAGAGCAGTTCTCGTCCGGGGGATGTGGGCCATGGAAAGTGTGGAGCGGTGCCGGTCTAGCTCACTGAGCTGCTCTGTGTCTGGTGCCTGCTGTTTCATCTCTGAACCTCTGGGCACCACTAACAGCTTAGCCTGTGACTCACATTCAGTTTTTCTGAGCTCTTCCCCTGTGGACTCCTGGTGTCATAATTTTCTGGAAAGAGGATTACTTCTGAAGCTGCTCAACAAATCCTCGAGTAATCCAATTTCCCATCCAACTACAACTCCTCTCCTGGCCCTTAATTCCCTAAATGCTAAGCTGGGAGGCTCAGCCACTCTTGGAGCTGGACAGCACAGGGAAGGAGCCTAGGGTCCTGCACCTTGGCTATGTTGGATGCAGGACTGTCCAGGCACCAGTGGAAGCAGCTCCAAGGTGAAGCCCATGCCTGTGGGGCTGGAGCGTGGAGGGAACTGACACTGAGAACTTGCCACGCTATGCTAGGCTCTGAGCCTGGTGTTTGCTAACTCGTTTCATCCTTAGGATAACCAAGATTTGGGTGTCAGGATGGTTGTGCCTACAAGGGAGGAAAAGTGATGCCCACGTGGGTTAAGAAACTTGCCCAGGGTTACATAGCTAGTAAGTGGTGTATCCAAAGTTCTAGCCTGTGGTTTTCCTAGTAAGTGGTGGTATCCACGCCCTGGGACCGGACCCGTAATACAACTGCTGCTTCAGGGTATCTATTGATTCTCTTCTGTGGAAGGTGCTGTGCTCTTAAGCTCCTGGTAGAGTGGCAGATGGGAAGAAATCCCCACCTTGAGTAGGCAAGCTGTTAGATATAAATAATAGTGCAAAAGTTGAGATCGACAGGTCAGACATGGAGAGGTCCATGAGATAGAGAAAGGAATGCCTTGGGTGGATCAGGCAGGGGGTTAAGGAGGAGGTGGCACCTGAGCTGGGTCCTGAATGATGGTGGAATCTGCAGAAACAGGCTTACAGTCAGGAATGTCTCTTTTAGGCACCTACTACTAATGAAGATAATGAAAATATTTTCTCCAAAGATTCTGCAAATGCAACAAGCCTCCCAGGTAAGGACTGGATATTTTTGTATTTCTATGGCCTACGGGATGCAAAAGAACTTGTCTCTGCAGAAAGTCCTTTTCTTTTTGGAAATATTGGCAGAGGACCAGTCTGCTTAATGAAAAGGATCAATGGCAGAAATATTCTTTTTTGTTACTATATACCTCCAAGTTTGATATTGTTAGCTATGATATAGTGAAGAGACCATAAGAAGGGTGGGATAAGTCAGTAAAATACTTCACAATTGGCCCAGAATACAAATGAATGTGCTACCAACAAAATTATTGGAGTCTGAAATGGAATACGCTTTGAGGAATGGAATAAATCTTTGCTTCGGAAACCCTTGATTTCAATGGTTCTGATTCCCTATACCTGTGAGACCAGGAAAACTTAGTAACATTCTCATCAAGAAAGATCCCAGCCAAAAAAAGAAAGAAAAAAGAAAGATCCCAGGTCCTGTGCTTTTTTACTGTATGTATGGGACTCATGGGGTCCAGACTCTGGAGGCTCAGTAGCTGAGTAGATCCAGCTGATGGCTTTCTGAGGAAGGCCTTGGCCTCCTTACCTTTACCTGGGCAGATTCCTGCCACACCTGATGCTGGACGCCCGTGCTCTGTCATCCCAGTTGCAAAGCCCTACCTAGTGCAGTGCACCTGGGGGGACCTACTAAACACCTGAGGCTAAGCTCTGCCTGCACAGCTGGGGACTCAGAGGGAATTGAACGCATCCCTGCTCTCCAGGAGTCTACCATCCCGGGGGCAGGCTCTGGTAAAGAGTAAAGTAGTAACTAACAGAGAGCAGAGTGTGAGACTGGCCAAAAGAGAGCCATAGATAAAGCAAAGTGGGATTTAGAGACTTGAGAGAACATGTCCATTGGGGGAATCAGAGAAAGTTCATGGAGGAGGTGCCATTTGAAATGAGCCTTAAATGATATGGGTGGAATGGCAGGAGGTTGGGGCAGCAGTTCAGGGGCTGCTGTGGAGGAAGGACCTTGGAGTCTTCTCCATCTGCTCTCACTGATGATCTATCTCATTCAGCCCCATGTCTTTAAAGACCATCTATGGGCTCATGACTCCCACACTTCTAGCCCATCTCTGACCTTTCCACTAAGATCCAGACTCATGTATCCAACTGCCTAGGTGACGTGTCCACCTGGATACCTACTGAAAATCTCAAACTGAATGTGCCTAAAAGAGAATGCTTGATGCCTCCCCGCCTCTTCAACCCAAATCTGTTCTTATCCTTCTTCCTCATCTCAGGAACTGACACCACATCTTCCGGGTTGCTGGGGCCAGGGAATTAGACATGCTTCCTCTTCTATCCCTCATCCCATGTCCAGTCCCTCAGCAGGTCCTGCCAGTTGTATCTCGAGGCACGTCCAGGAGCTGACCACTTCTCACCTCCTCCACTGCCAACACCCGGTCCAGCCACTGCTGTCTTTCCTCCTGTAGGACTTTAGGAGCTGCCTGCTGGTCTGCTGGCTTTTAGTCTTAATCACCAATAGACTCTTTTCCAACCACCAGCCAGAATGATTCTTTTTTTTTAAATTTATTTATTTTATTTATTATTTATTTTTGGCTGCGTTGGGTCTTCATTGCTGCACGCGGGCTTTCTCTAGTTGCGGTGAGCGGGGGCTACTCTTCCTTGCGGTGCGTGGGCTTCAGTAGTTGTGGCTTGCGGGCTCTAGAGCGCAGGCTCAGTAGTTGTGGCGCGCAGGCTTAGTTGCTTCGCGGCATGTGGGATCTTCCCGGACCAGAGCTCGAACCCGTGTCCCCTGCATTGGCAGGCGGATTCTTAACCACTGTGCCACCAGGGAAGCCCCCAGAATGATTCTTAAAACACAAATCCAAGCTCTCCTTCACTCAACACCATCTTCTCTCCTGGAGTAAAAGCCAAAGACCTAAGAAAGGCCCTAGTCTCCATGGGGTCAGGCCCCCAATCTTTAGACCTCGCCTCCTCCTTTCTCCCTCTCACTCACTCTACCCTCCTCACTCTTCCACACATGCTCTACCTCGTGGCCTTCGCGTCTGCTGCTTGCTCTGCCTTGGGTGCTCTTCCCCCGACCTCCACTAGGCCAGCCCCTTCAGCCAGGCCTCTGCTCAAATGCCCCCTCCTCAGGGAGGCCTTTCCCCACCAGCCAATCTGACAGAACCCCCGGCTGTCACTCTTCCTTTCCTGTGCTTTGTTTCCCATCATTGCCCTTGTCACTGCTGACATCATATTACATACGTATTTGTCTGTCTCGCTTGATTAGAATGTAAGATCCAGGAAGCCAGGAGCCTTTCTGTCATCCAATTCTCTGTATCCCCAAGGCTTAGAACAAAGCCTGGCACACGATAGACACTCAATAAATATTTGTTGAATTAACGAAGGAACAAATACAAAAGGTGATGAAATATTAGTAAACGAGTCAGCCGAGCTTACATGAAATGGCTGTCTCTGCCAAGAGACGTAGGACATACTAGGAGAGACCCGTCCTTGTGGTCAGTGCCCACTACCAGCTGGGGCTCAAGGCAAAGGCTGCATCCACTGGGCACTCGAAGTGGTGACTGGTAGGTGACATCTTCATCAGCACTGGGTACTGTTTGGGGCGGAAGGGCCTGAATCCCAAGTCCATGAGACTGCAAGTATCTGCATTGCCAGCAGGAGAGAATGATGGTAGACAGATGTACTCTCTGTCTAGTCCGGGGTCTCTCTCTGGCAACCATGGGAAGGAGCTTTCTGTGGGAGGACGTGGCTGCTTGTGAAGCTAGTTTTTTTATTCTTTTTTTTTTTTTGCGGTACGCAGGCCTCTCACTGTTGTGGCCTCTCCCGTTGCGGAGCACAGGCTCCGACGCGCAGGCCCAGGAGCCATGGCTCACGGGCCCAGCCGCCCCGCGGCATGTGGGATCTTCCCAGACCGGGGCACGAACCCGTGTCCCCTGCATCGGCAGGCGGACTCTCAACCACTGCGCCACCAGGGCAGCCCGTGAAGCTAGTTTGTTCTTTTATTCATTCAATGAAATATTGGTGAGCCTGCTTTGTTCAAGGCACCACATGAGCCGTTGGGAGCAGTTGGGAAAAAGACACATGTGGTCCCGGCTTTCAGGGAGCTCAGACTGGAGGGAGTGGAGTAACCAGGAAGGGCACGTAGCCAGCTTGGAGCAGGGTCACTTCTCAAAGGAAATGACATCACCTCATGTGAGACTCAAAGGTCCAGGAGGGACTGGACAGCAAAGAGGTGCAGTGAAGGTGGATTAGCGTTCTGGGGGAGAAGAGGACATGTGGGAAGAGCTCTGGGGGAAGAGGGAACATGGCATGAGGAAGATGGAATGAAGTTCATGTGGCTGCGGCTTGAGTACCAAATGGGGAAACAGGCAAGAGGTGACACCCCACTGGGGAAAACTGCACCTGAACACTTGATTTAAAGCACCTGAGCCTCCGTGACATTGTCCTCGGTGGCGCTGCCGTCAATGAGGTCCCCCCAGCCTCTGTTGCTGGCACTCCCTCTGTGCCTTGTGGGGCAGGCTGAATGCCACTAGAAAAGCCACTTTGAAAGTGAGTGGGAGTCTGTGGCTGGCCGCAGGCGCTCAGAAGCTCTGAGCTTGAGGTGTATCTCTTGCCAAGTGGTGGAATCCTGGGGTCTGTCAGGTTGTGCTGGGGGTGACTCCTGTAGAGGTGGCTTTGGCCAGAAAACTGGCAAGCTCGTCAAGGGGCCTGTTGCTTAACGCAGAGCTGTTTCCTCCTACAGGGGTGAGGTTCTGTTGAGGTTTTGACAGCACCGGCTGAGTGGTTTTTTTCCCTTCTTTCCTCTGCTCCTCTCTTCCTCCTCCTCCTCTTCTTTCTCTTCCTTTTTTTTTTTTTTTTTTTTTAGTGCAAGATTCTACTTCGGTACCACTGCCCACCTTCCTGGTGGCTGGAGGAAGCCTGGCCTTCGGGATGCTCCTCTGTATTGGCATTGTCCTGAGGTGAGATGGGCCCGGGGGGTGGTCCTGTGGTGTTCTCATGTTTCTGATCTAGCTTTGCCAGGGCTAGGATGCTGGCAATGGGTTGGAGAGCCATGAATGGATTCAAGGTATATTTTAAAGGTAGAATTGACAAGATTTGATGACAGCTCAGAAGAGAAGAATGGAAGAGAGGGAGGAGTCAAGTCTGACCCTCAAGTTTCTGGCTTAAGCAATTGGGCAGATGGTGGGTGTCGTCCATGAAGAATGGAAAACACTGGAGGTAGAACAACTGAGTGAAAAGCGACGATTACATGTTGGCGCCACTGGGGAAACTCCAAGTGAACAAGTTTTGGAGGTAATTCAGATCATTGGCAGCAGGCAGGTGGTAGTTGGGGCCATGGGAGAGGATGGGGCCAACAACGTAACCTGTGGAATACAATTGAAAAATTGTGTAGAGGGGGCGATGAGAAAGGGGCTGAGAAGGAGTGGCCTGACAGGGAGGAGAAGAAGCAGGAAAACCTGGCTGTGAACACCAGAGGGAGAAGTGTGTGTTAGACACTGAAGAAACCCCTTAGGCTCTGGGACTGCGGTACGAATAGGACCCTCCCTCTCCTCCAAGAGCCACGTACTAAAATCAGTAAAATACCACGAGAGAAGCACCACACCAGGGGTATGTGCACAGGTAACTCTGAAGTGCCTGGCTAGACATTCTTGGGAATACTCCATGTCTCCAAATAAGCAGACCTAGTGGATCACCTTTAAATGCCCTGTCCTAGTGCCCTCGTCCGGTCATGGTGAGGAAACACCACAGGTGAGGGCTCGGTTGGCACCCTGGTCACTGTAACGCCCCTGCCCATTTCATCCGAGTCTCTCTCTCCATTCGGTCATTGGTTTGTCATTCGTTCCCAAGCTTGCGGAGAGATCACGTAACAGTGCTCCCAATGAATGGGCAATAAAGAAAACTTGCTATGTTCATGATTTTACTGCAGGAACTGGTAATTTTGCATATGCTGAAGCCCTAAAGGAAATCAGGCTGGGCTCTGACTTTGGATGGTGGTTCATTACAATAATATAAGTAGAGGAGAAACTTCACTGTGTTTTTCCTGTCTCTCCCCTTGTGTGTAACTTTCAAGGACTCTACCTGGTGGTTGTGAGAGGTGGTCTTTGAGGGTGCTTGGGAAGGAGGGGTAAGACCTTGGCAGAGAGCTTTTCCACATGTTACAGCTCATTGGATTCTCACAGTGACCCTGAAACAGCTCGCCCACCAAGGTGGTCTGGGTTGGAAGATGACAACTCAAGCTGTGTTCGGGTTGTTTTGCTTTGATTTTCCAATGAAGTAGTGAGCAAGCTGTCCAAAGGGTGTGCAGAAGATAAGTTTCCTCAAGAGTGGAGGTAACTCCTTGGAGGAACCAAGAACTCACTGTCTTTTATACCTTTGGGTCAGAGAGGGGCCATGGCAACTTTCCGAGGTCTTCCTGCTGCCTTCTAAGGGATCCCTTGCCTCACCTCAGACACATACTTCTGTGTTCTCTTTCTATTTCTATATCATTAGGGCTCCAAAAGGCCTTTCTTATAACCTACCACAGACCCTATAGAGTAAATATCATGATTTCCACTTGACAGATGAGGAAATGAAAGCTGAAAGAGGTGGAGTGATTACAGCTAGTAAGGATAAGGCCAAGATTCAAACCCAAAGCTTGTGCTTTTTGGATACGACCTTATGGGTCATTTAGTCAAACTCTTTAATTTTACAAATGAGAAAACAGCCCTGAAAGGTAAATGACTTGCCCAAGGACACACAACTTATTAATTAGCAGAGACAGGCCTAGAGCTTGTGTCCTGAGAGTCCCTGCCCACTGCACCAGCCTGCTGTCAGCTAAGAGGTGGGCCCAGTTGGTCCTATCAGTCCAGTGTTGGCCAGTGGCCCCGCGAACAAGCAGCGCCATCTTGGTGTGCTGTTAACCCCTAAGAGAGAAGCGTTAGGCTGGGAATTGGCCACAGTGCTCATCACAGACTTAGTCTGCTAATGTGCTGATGGTGCTTGTACACTGGCTGGTTGCTACACAACCAGAGTCCCCGAAGGCACAGTGCCTTGTGCAGAGAACATATCAGTAATTTATTTCCTAGCCTGGTGAGTTTCCATTTTCTCTCATATAAGGCAAATTTATTTGGAAAGAGGCCAGTTATTTCAAGTAATGAAAAACTCCTACTCCCAAAGTCCCCCGTGTCAAGACAAGAGTGTAAATGTAGAGATGATGTGGGAGCCTGGGGTGCCAAAATGGTTGGGCCACTGTACAGTTGGGGTGGCCAGATTACAGTGGACAGAAGGAGAGGCAGGTGGAGGAAGTAAAGCCCGCCCACCCGTGACACCATCTTTTTATTTTTAGTACATTTATTTTGCGCCTCAAGCAAAGCATAGTATTTTCCTAAATATTTTTCCAGCAACATCGGTGACAAGTTTTTAAAATTTAAATGTGCTGTTGAAGAAAGTGTGCCATCTTAAGTGGATGTTATAACTTACAGGGGCCAATTCTCCCCACCCTACTCCCTGTGCCCCACTGCTTCTCTCTCTTTATTTTATGCTCTCAGGCACTGAGAAAATAGGATTCTCATAGCAGAGAATTGCTTTTCTGCACATTTATCTAGAATGGCTAATGCTATTAGGTGAGGACTTCCTATATGTATGCCTATGATTTAAATCATTTTGTATTGAATGTATTGTCTTATTTCAATTTTTATTTTTGGCCGCACCACGGGGCATGCGGGATCTCAGTTCTGTGCCACTGGACCACCAGGGAAGTCCCTCATTTCAATATTTTAAAATCACACTCTCCCACTTCTATGGTTAAGGGATATTATAAGTGTTTTTTTTTTTTTTCGGTATGCGGCCCTCTCACTGTTGTGGCCTCTCCCATTGCGGAGCACAGGCTCCGGACGCGCAGGCTCAGCGGCCGTGGCTCACGGGACCAGCCACTCCGCGGCATGTGGGATCTTCCCGGACCTGGGCACGAACCCCCGTCCCCTGCATCGGTAGGCGGACTCCCAACCACTGCGCCACCAGGGAAGCCCTATAAGTGTTTTTTAAAAATTTCTTTTAGCTGCAGAACCTTTTCTTTAAGCAAAACATTACGAAGCCCAAGTATGTAAAATAGGTAAAAGGTGGCGGCTGAGGTGCAAAAGTCTGACAGCTCAGCTCTTTGTTCCTTCTACCCGCCCTGCACCCTCTCCAGCCCCCAGGCCCTGCTCAGACCCCTGCCCAGGGCAGGGCAGTGCCAAGTGTGGATATACCCCAGGCCCTGGGGTTTCAAAGGCCCCTCTGAGCTTAGTGATTTGCCAAAAAATCTCATTCACTCCTCAAAATTTTTCAAAAGAAGGAAGGCTCATCTTTCTCAGTTACCCGTCCAATTGCTTTGGAAAAAAACTGAGGACAGAGACTGCTTTCCATATTGGTTAGGTAACATCAATAGAGACTTTAAAAAATTGTGATACATGATTGCTAAAAATTGGTAATTTGCTAAATATTGACAAATAGGAAGAAGGGAGAAAAATGACACATTATGCAAAGACAGCCACTGTTAATTTTTAAAATGTAAATGTGATTGAAGTCTAACAAACATATAGGAAAGTGCAGATGTCATAAGTGTACAGTGCCATGAATTTCCACAAAGTGAAGATACCCGTGCAATTGACACCCAGCTCATGAACACTTTATATTTAGATGAATTTCTTCTGAGTCTTTTTCCTCTGCATAGTTTCTTGTTTGTTTTTATGTAGCCATGATTATTCTGTCTCTACAGCTCTGAATCCTGCCTTATAAATTTAGTATCAGTTATATAACATAAGCACTTCTTCCCATTATTACAAATTCTTTGTAAACCTCACTTTCATCACTCCTCCATTAGGTGGCTATAATACCCAAGATCACTTAACCAACCTCCTATTATTGGGCATTTGGGTTGTTGTTTTGCTTTTGTAAATAACACTGTGTTGAACATCTTTGTGCATAAAGCTTTTTCCGCAGCTATGCTCTTTCCTGAGGGTATATTCCCAGAAGTGGAATTCTTGGGTCAGAGGATCTGAATATTTTGAAATCCAGAGCATAATGACTCTATCCTCAGTTCTCTCATGAGGGAGAAGGATTCCACCCAGGGACACAGCATAGCTCCAGTAAGCACCCCTGCTGTGTTCCCTTCCTGTGCAGTGCCTGAATGGCGAAGCCTAAGTCACATTCTGCAGATTGTTTATTCCATTTGGATAACAGGCTAAGAGCCAATGGCAGATTTGGAGCCAACTATCAATTATTTATCATAACAAGGACAGGAGTAGCCTGTCGATATTAAAAGAAACCTAAGGAAAATCCCCAAACATTGTTTTTGACATTGGTTTCCCCTCTTCCCTCCCAGCCCTTCCTGGAGTAGCTGACATTTGGTAGAACTGAGGGAGACCACCTTGCTCCCACTTTGAGGTCAGTGGGCAATAAGTTAATAGGCAACAAAGTGGGAAGCAGGAGGGAGAGATGAGCTGCCCCACCCAACAGAAGGGCCCCTTCAGGGAGGAGACCTGACTGTACCTTTGAAGATTGCTATCACCATCTCATCTTTCTCTGGGCTGTCAAGTGACTTTTCTCAGTTACTGAGCCCTGGCTTTGGGCCCAGAATGGAGCAGGGTGAACGAAGCTATGATCAGAGAGATGTCTATCTCCTTCCTGTTTAACATTGACTTTCCTGTCAGATGAGTCACTTGTGCCCAAGTGGTGCCCACGGCCGAGTCTGTGAGAACGTGCCAGCATGGTGTGAGGGGACCCAGAGGTGTAAGGAGAATTGGGGATGCCGGGAATATTGGAAGCAAGAGGAGCAGGAGGGCTGCTGAGGGAGCAGTACAGCCTTTTCCCTGCCATTAAAGGCAGCTGCCAATTCTCTACCTCTAGCCAGTGTTAATTTGACTGAGGGGCCCCTCTGGGTAGCCTCTGGAGCAGGACAAACTAAATTCTCGGTGCTATAAAGGGGCACTCAAAGCCACACTCTCAAAGCCTCAGTTTCCCCATTGGTAAACTGGACCCACAACACATACCTATTCTCTTGGGGTATTTTATTTATTTATTTATTTTTGGCTGCGTTTGTCTTCATTGCTGTGCGCGGACTTTCTCTAGTTGCGGCGAGCGGGGAGTACTCTTTGATGCGGTGCGCAGGCTTGTCATTGTGGTGGCTTCTCTTGTTGCGGAGCATGGGCTCTAGGCGTGGGACTTCAGTAGTTGTGGCACGTGGGCTCAGTAGTTGTGGCTTGCGGGCTGTAGAGCGCAGGCTCAGTAGTTGTGGCACACAGGCTTAGTTGCTCCACGGTATGTGGTATCTACCTGGACCAGGGCTTGAACCCGTGTCCCCTGCATTGGCAAGCGGATTCTTAACCACTGCACCACCAGGGAAGCCCTCTTGGGATATTTTTGATGACTCTTCAGAGGATTGTGTAACTCCTGGTAACAATAAACAGCCAATGAATAAATAGTTATCACTTCTTGGAGCTGAAACCCAGGAGCGCCGGGCCACCAGGGCCACCAGCTGTTGGTGTTTTTCTCACGGGTTTATCACAGAGGGAACTCAACATTTGCATGGTTTGTCTTTGTGTGTCTGTGTGAAGGTTCAAGAAGACGGGGAAGCTGCAGGCTCTGAAAGAAGGCAAGACGAGCGTGCACCCACCGTATTCTTTGGGACAGCTGGTCCCTGAGAGGCCCAAGCCCACCCCAGTGCTTGTGCCCCTCATCTCCCCACCGGTGTCCCCCAGCAGCCTTGGGTCTGACAACACCTCAAGGACTAGCCGACCAGATGCCAGTGGCCCTCAGAGACCTTATGACGTCAGCAACAGAGACTACTTCTTCCCCAGATAGCTGGCTGGCCGGGTGGCACCTGGCAGCCTGGGGTGTCAGGCCCCCCGGACTGTGTGGGTGCTGAAGCACAAACTGGCCTAGCAAAGACGCTCCTCGCTGCCGTGCCGGCTCACCTCGGGCGCTCGCGGCCGCTGGCTTCGCCTCTACAGGAGGGCCTCGCAGAAGGTTCTGTGCTGGGTGAAAAAAAGCTTTGCCGCGTCTGTTCAGAAGGAAGAGGTGGTTGAGTTTTTGAACCACTCTTCCCCCAGTGCCCTGCTTACAGGGCTTAGAGTGAACTCAGGCCCCCGTGAAGAGAGGGGTGTCAAGACTCTACCGGACACTCCGGTGGGCAGAGCCGGGTGGCTGCGCAGGCCTCAGACTCCCCCCTGGGCTTGGTGCGGACAAGTTGCTGGCCGCCCGCGCACCCTGACCCACCTCCAGGAGCTGCACCCTCAGGCGGGTGGGATGAACGTCCAGCCAAAGACTCCCCGAGTCGCTTATCTCTTGGCCCACCGCACAGCTTCATCTTCTAAGCTTCTTGAAGCCCAAGTGCCTTCTCAATTCAGTTTTTCTAGGCCTGAGATCGGCTTTTCTTAAACCACCGTGGCTGGGGGAAAAGTCTCACCTGCTTTTCTTCACTGAACAGCTGAGAGGGGGGTGATTGTATCTCAGGGCCTGATGGTTTGAAATGGAATTATAATCAGTTCCTCATTAGCATTTTTCTAAATGTGAATGATAGTCCAAGCGCTTGCTGAATCCAGAAGCAGTTGCACTGGCTCCATGTCCCTTTTTGGATCCCAGGACTTCAGGAAAGAAGCCGTGGGGAAGGAGGGGAGTGGTGGGGACAGGGTCTCCATGCTTGTCTGTCACAGCATTGCTGAGGGGGACAGCGGCCTCTGCAAACCACCATTCTCCATTCTCCCCCTCCCCTGGCCCTCCAAAATGAGAACTGGCATGAGGGAGGGCTTCTGCCAGTGGTGAAATCAAAGCTGCCTTATTCCAGCTTTGTTTATTTTAGTTTCAGCGGAGCCTGAGTAACCAGGGAAGGTAATATTTATGCAGAAAGACAAAAGAACCCGGCAAGAATGGATTTTAATTTGGTTTTTAAAAAAACTGCTGACTATTTTATCTTCAGAGGGTGGAAGATCCAGTATTAGCTGAGTGTCAGTATAGAAATAATGGGGGAAAAGCACGATAGCTTTGTTTAACACAAAACTGAGTCAAGTGGAAAAGGGGGAGAAAAGGAGATTTTGCCTTATTAGAGAAGAGACTCTGGTTTCATTCTAAATTTTGTTTTTGCCTTAAAAAGTGAAAAAAAAAAAAAGTCTGCCTCTTCTCTAATTTAGCGGAAAAGCAGCTTGTTACTACTCCCCCAGGCAGCTGAGAAGGAAACGGTGTCCAGCTCGTGTCACGGTGCTGGGAAGCAAGCCTCCCACGATTACCCAGCAGGTCAGCTGAAAATCCCCACCCCTGAAAGCCACGAGCCCTCGGGTATCAGAGGAGGTTCATTAGAGAAAACACCACAGCCCTAAACTTGGTGCCTTCCTCTCTTTAGTTAGTTCCTTGAATGTGATTCAGTTCAGCTAGTATTGAAGCACGGAGTAAATGTCTAGCCGTGACACTGCAGTAACCACTTCAGTTCACTTTTCCGTCTGGGCTTTGAAAATTCAGTGATGTTCGTGGTTACCCAAACAAGCACCCTCAAGTATTCTGGGATGTCCCAGAATGAAGCTGTGATTAAAATCAGTCGTGTAACCACCACTAAAAATTTACCAGACCACAAAACTTTTCTAGTAGTCTCCCCTTTTAGAAAAATAACCACCAGCACCAGATAGGTGGGGAAAGGATGGAAATGACCATGTTTTATTTACCGTTTGCCAGGTTCAAACTGTTAGGATGTTGGACTACGCAGTGATTTTCATTGCTGGCTTTGGCTGTAAATTTCAGACCCTGTTGCTGCTTCTGGCAAGTGATCTTAACTTGACAAAAGTGAGGCAGATGGTTTTGTTTTGTTTTGTTTTTCTCTAAATTTTCCTTGACTGAGAACAGCAAAAATGCTGTTAAAGGGAAATATAAAAAATGAGAATCTGCGCGAGATAGGGTGATTCTGTGCCCACGGTTCTTTAAGTCTTGACAAAGTTTTACCCACGTGTAATTTTACCAGAGCCAGGCGGAGCGGTGCTAGTGGAAGATGTGAAATCCAGATAGCTCATGATTGCTGAGAGCTAGGCAGCTTTGATCTCCAAATTGTTATTGCTTTCATTATTATTGGAACGGAACTGCGTTTTTTTTTAATTGAAGAGGGTTTTTTTCCCTTTTTTTTTATAAGCTAGTATAGATGAAGGAAAAATATTTGTCTTCTCTGGGTCGTAGGCCTTGCTCAGTGTACACAGGTATACACCCTAAGCTTTCTCTGTCCTTGAATCTGTGGTCAGTGAATGTGTGTTTCAATCCACAGGTCATCCTTACCTGTGTTTCTGCAGCACACGTGCTGCCTTTTATCCTCAACAGTGATGCTACTCACCGAATATCTGTAGCCATCTGCTACACAGCCAGATGTGAAATGTTATTAGCACAGCGACAATTTTTGTTAAAGATGGGCAACTTATCCTGCTGGGTGGGAAAAGTTGAAAATATGCTAGATCAAGGTCTCAATTAAAGTGGTCATTAATTTTTGTAGCATTAATGAAAAAAAAAAAAGATCAAGGAGGTATAGCATTGAATGTGTCAACAAAGCCCTTGGTGACTCTGAGAGCTCTTTGCCCTGAGGGAGCCTGGCCCTTGCAGTTTGTTGGCTAGGCTCTTGGCTCACCCCGAGTGTCCGCCATTTCCCAGCTGCCCCCAAGGGAAGGAAACACCGTTACGAGGGGTGGAATCTGATGCTGGAGTGGACTGGGAGCCCACCCGGTGGTGGACAGAGCTGAGCAGGGCAGGCTGGGAGTGGTCATGGTTTGTGGGTTTCGTGCAGAATGTTCAGGAATGTCTTGGCTGGCTGCTTTAGTGCTGAGCTGTATCGCTTCATCAAAGGCACTTAAGATTGACCCAGTCGGGGAGGAGTTGGTGAGAAATTTATCTTAATTTGGAGAAGCAGGGGCAACTGGTGGTCCTTGGGAGCGGGAGCCTGGATCCCAGCCTTCCGTGCAGCAGTTGGCAGTGAGGCTGTTGCTGAAAGGGAGCCCAGCTGGCTCAGCTTCTGTGCCAGACACTCCTGAGCATCCCCGAAAGGTCCTTCCAGCATCGTGTCCTTGGTGTAGCCTGGCCCCAGCGCCAGTGAGTTTCTATGGCAACCTTAATGATTATTAAGGAACATTGTCAGTTGTATGAACATATGCTCAAATGCAGATCTACTTCAGAAGGAAAGGATTGGAACAGCATGTAGCAAGGCTGTTAATTAATAGAGAAACCATATTTGGATGGAGATCACACATCCGTTAAATAGAATACCTCAACTTTACATTGTTTTTTTCTGGAGAGAAATAATAGTTTTAAGTTTTTGTTTTTATTTTTTTACTTAATTATCTGAAAGCAAATACCAAAGGCTGATGATGTCTGTATATGGGGCAAAGGGTCAGTATGATGTTTTTCAATGTTTTCTCTTTTTACCAGCTACTTTGCTTTTAAAGTGAAAATTGTAAATGTTTGAAATAAATACGTTCTAAAACTATGCTTGAGAGGTAATTTATGCTTTGGCACCTGGGTCATTTCAAGGAAAGACTTGAATGATTATGGGGGAAAGGGGTAAGGAAAGATGGGTTTAAAATTAAGGAGGACCATTTTGGGGTGAGCTTCTCCTTAATGCAGGATTAAATTACCTCTGGGACAAAAGTCAGGTAAGTTTAAGAAATAAGTAGCAATCTCTCAAAGACTTTAATGATGAAAGTATTTCCCCAAATGAGCCCTGGGGTTTCTGGAAGGGGCGTAGTTGCTTCTGCCATGTTTACATCATTAGCAGGTGATGAACCTGTGGGGAAGGAAAAGGAAGGGCCATTATTCATCAGAAGACTGTTTATTGGACAGGGGGGTGTTAACGGAATCACAAAGGCAGCCTTGTACTTCTTGATCATCAGATAGGCTGCATCTGTCCCCTATTGAAAAGGGTCCTCAATAGGAAAAACTTGGGACACAGCCATCCCATATCTTCCAAACAGAGGAAAGTCATCGTGTGGTTGCTCTGTGGATAAGAGTTGCTGTGTAAACAGTTCAGGGCTGGGGAGGAGGAAACTGCATGGAAACCTGGAAATTGTGTAACTCAGACCAAAAGCTGAAGTGTGAGGCCCTGCTGTGTGACCCCACCCCACCCCCGGCCGCCTGGGCAATCAGAGGAAAGCCTCACGACCACACCTACAGCGCCCATCGACTCCTTGAGGATGCTACTGTCTCATTTAAGGTTGGTCCCTGTCTTGCAGAAAGTGACACAGGAAACAGATGTCCCTATGGTGGCTTGGCTGTGTGGGCCCCACGGAGGGTGCAGGAGTGGGGGTAAGGGGCAGGAAATGGGAGAGGGTGCCTCCCTCTTCTCCACGGTGTCACTGTTAGGACGACATGCTTACGATGCTCTTTCCAGAAGAATTTGGGGGAGCAGATGGTGAATCTTGTAGAGGATAGCAAGGAACACTCGGTTCCTGGAACAGCCACTAAGGAAAGCGTTTTCCTTATTTATTAATGCATAAGGAGACCAAACCTTTCTCCATGTCTGTGAGAAGCACAGGCCAGCGGCAGGGAACTGTGTGCCTTCCTGCAGTAGCAGAAGTGTGCCGTTGAAGGGCCTTAAACTGGTCCATGTGGTGTTCAAGGGCTGGGCTGGGGGCACAGCAGCCCCTCCGGCAGAGTAGTGAGCAGGTGGGCTGCCGGAGTGGCCTGTCGCTTTAAACAATCCTGAGCGTGAGAGCGAGCCCTGCACTGTGCTTCAAATACTGCCAACCCCTCCTTTCTCTGTGAAAGTTCTGTCTTCTTGCTGATGTGTGTTACTGAAAAACCACAGAACAACCTCAGCCACGTCCTATTTCATACCAGCAGTTTTCCGTGACCATCCAAAACAGGAATACAATGAAGTTTTTCAGTAAAATCTGGAAACACTCATACTACGGGAATATGCAATATTCAGTTAGGATATTTCTTCTAAGGTAACTTCAAATTGCTTAGTAAAGCTGCCCAATGTCCACAAAGAAAATAGCCTACTATTTTCTTTTTTTTAAATTTATTTTATTGAAGTATAGTTGGTTTCCAACGTTGTGTTAATTTCTACTGTAGAGCAAAGTGATTTAGTTATACATATATACGTTCTTTCTCATATTATTTTCCGTTATGGGTTATCACAGGGCATTGAATACAGCTCCCTGCGCTATACAGTAGGACCTGGTTGTTTACCCATTCTATATAGTTTGCATCTGGGAATTCCCTGGCGGTCCAGCGGTTAGGACTTGGTGCTTTCACTGCTGTGGGCCCAGGTGCGATCCCTGGTTGGGGAACTAAGATCCGACAAGCCATGCTGCACGGCCCCCCAAAAAAATTTGCATCTTCTTATCCCAAACTCCCAATCCTTCCCTCCCCCACCCCTACCCCCTTGGCAACCACAAGTCCATTTTAATATTTCATTACGATGTTTTAAAGAATGAAATTTACTGGGACAGTTGAATTCTATTTCGGTTTTTAAATGCCTGTGCTGCACAATGAGGGTTTTGCAATGATGAATGGTGTAAGTGGGACGTTCTGGGGTCTGTGCCCAACCATAGACGAAGAGAGGAGGGAAAGGTAGAGGATGCCGGCGTGCGCACACCCGCTTGTGTGGGCAGCATGTTTGCCCTGCAGAGCGCAGGTATACACGGGTGTACACTGGAGTCACCACAACCGAGCAGGGATTCCAGATCAGTCTGATGTGGACTGAGATGCTTCTGAGGAAGGTGGTGGTAATGGACCCTGAGGGTGACTGTGGACCGTGATTGTTTCTATGATGAGGTGGGTGTTCTGGGGCCTCGGACTTCAGGCCTTGGCGAACTTCAGTGGATCATGTCCATGGATGGGTCCAGGGATTAGAGGCAGCCCAGGCTCCACCCCCAGGCCCTCTGAATCACAAAAGTGGGTGTCTGTTTACATGAGTGTAAGGTCCTCAGTTTCTCCTGCTGTGCAGCCAGCTCTGAGGGTCTCTGTGCTGGAGACCACAGGGCAGGAGGTAAGATTCTATAGCAACATGTTACTGTGGGTACTAATTGGGTAACAAAATCTGTGGACAGCAAAGAGCTACACCACCAGCCCTACTGGTTACCTAGAAGGCCACCATCCCCTTTTGGTCAAGGTGGTCTATTAAAATTAGCTAATAGGGCTTCCCTGGTGATGCAGTGGTTGAGAATCTGCCTGCTAATGCAGGGGACACGGGTTCGAGCCCTGGTCTGGGAGGATCCCACATGCCGCAGAGCAACTAGGCCCGTGAGCCACAACTACTGAGCCTGCGCGTCTGGAGCCTGTGCTCCGCAACAAGAGAGGCTGCGATGAAGAGTGGCCCCCGCTTGCCACAATTAGAGATAGCCCTCGCACAGAAACGAAGACCCAACACAGCAAAAATAAATAAATTAATTAATAAACTCCTACCCCCAACATCTTAAAAAAAAATTAGCTCATGATAACGGCAACCGTTTATGGACCCTCCACCATGTGCTTGACAAACAGGATATTCTTTCTCATAAAGGCACTGCAAGGAAAGTGTTTTCACCTGTTTACAGGTGAGGTCACAGAGGCTCATATTGGTGAAGATAGTGATCTAAGACACCTGAGTTAAGAGGCTGAACTAGACCCCAAACCTATGTCTGCCTGACTCCAAGGCCAGTGCTCTTTGTGTGGCCCCTCAGCCCCTGGTGACAATGAAGATGGGTCTATCTTTCCAACCCCTTTTCCAGGCCAGGTGCCCTCACCCTGTGCTGGGTGGGGCCCGGCCCACTCACCCCTGCGGGGAGATGGACCTGGATTCCTCATTGGGTTTATCACACCTGTCAGTGTGGAAGCTGAGACCCTGGGAGTCTGAGCCACACGCCGATGGCCTCAGCGTGTCCCTGAGGCCACCAGGCCCCGGCGCTGCTCACATAACAGGCAGCCACAGAGAAGATGGGCCACAAAGGGGAGGGGCAGCAAGCAGCTCCTTACACTTAATGGTCCTTGATCAGAAACCAAACCAAACCACTTCCCCTTCTCTGCATCAGCCCTTTATCTATTCCTCTGAACTCTGTGTTCTGTTGCTTCCTTGGTGTGAACTTTAATGAACTTCCTTGAAATCTCCTAACTGTGCTTTCTTTATGGCGTGGGAATCTTTTTCTGTCCACTGCCTCTGAAAGGGTGAATGATCACCACACTAAGAGGTGGTTGTCTCTGGGCCATGAGATCCATTCAACCACCGCGCCGGCTGCAGGGATATAAGAGGAATCAATTCCTCCCCCAAGTGTCACTGAGCCACACAATTAAGGTGCAAACGCTCTCTCTGGGAGCAAGTGACTAATCTGGTCTAGGGAGTCGGGGAAGGAAGGGATAGGGAGAGTGAAGATGGAGGAGGAGGGCTCCGGGTGGAGGGGGTGGCCCAGGGAGGCTGCTGGTGCAGGGCCTGGGGCTGGGGAGGAGGCCTGCCTTGGACATGCTCTGTGGTGAGCAATCTTTTGATATCCTAAGAGCATTAGGGAGCTGCTTGAAGACCAGATTTGCACGTTCTTTTTTCTTTTACGCATATTAAAATTTTTTTCGTGAGCCTGTATGTTTTTACAACTAGAGTAAGCTTTTCACTAACTAACTATAATCCCTCTGTTTTGGGATAGTTCAGCCAGGTTGTACTGCTTATGAAAAATTATTTATTAAAAAGTGCAAGACGGGACTTCCCTGGCGGCAAGGAATCTGGTTAAGAATTCACCTGCTGGGGCTTCCCTGGTAGCTCAGTGGTTAAGAATCCGCCTGCCAATGCAGGGGACACGGGTTTGAGCCCTGGTCCGGGATGATCTCACATGCTGCAGAGCAACTAAGCCCGTGCGCCACAACTACTGAGCCCACATGCCACAACTACTGAGCCTGTGCTCTAGAGCCCACGAGCCACAACTACTGAGCCCACGTGCCACAACTACTGAGCCTGCGCTCTAGAGCCC